TTTCGTTTGCCAAAGGTTGGCGAGCTATGTAGACCAGGGCAACTAGCTACACGCTCCAACCCAGGTTCTTATCCTTGTATCCAGCGAAGTTGGCGACAGGCTGTTGAAACAGTCATTCTCTGGTGGACATTGCCAAACAGTATGTCGATGAACGACAGCTAGCAAAGCGGATAAGACACAAATAGGCGCAGAAATGGCTATCCCGTACGTATCTGACGCACACAGCAGGCCGACGGCATGTGTCTCCAGGGCTATTCCCCCAAGCCTATGTCCTTTGCTTACTATATACACCCACAAGTTATGCAGGTCAACCAAACGCATACAATCGAAGACTGCCCTCACCCAAGGATTATCGAACCTTCAAGGATGGCAGATGTCCTATCCAAAACTTGCGAGGAACCAAATCGCCAACACAGACCTTATCGAACGTCAATACATGTCTTCGCATATTTCACAAATAAACCAAGGGGCTCGGCGATTAGTATCAATTGATACGGTCTATAAGTGATTCTCTTTTCCTTCTATAAACAAGCCACCGCGTAACGCCCAACATGCTATTCATTCAAGCCGATTACCAGAATACATTAGGTTTAAGTCTACACCAGCAGGAGTGCGCAAGCCATGGCCATGATCAGAACCAGCCCCGACACCGCAGGCCTGCCGGGCGATGCGCCCGTGACCTTGCCGCAGCACTCACGGGTATACGTGACGTTGTTCAACTTCGCCTGGACCTGGAAAACGGAGCCAGGCGGGTCACCGTAGTTGTAGTAGTCGACGTTCAAGATCTTGGGCGGGCGACCCCAGTCTTGCGTGCACTGCGCGCCAGCCAGGCCAAGGGAACCGTTTCCGGTAGCATTGTTGGTCTCGTTGAGCAGGGACACGGCAGGGACGAGGATGGAGGCGCCAAAGATGTTGTACTCGGCGTTGAGGTTGTGGTTCATGAGGTACAGACGGTTCTTGGCGTCTTGATCGGACAGATTTGGCGGGCGCTGGACGGTGCACGGGAATGAGCGGTCCATGGGGTCGAACGGGGTCTCCCACATTTGGGAGAACTCATCCATAAGCCAAGGATACTTCTGCTGATCGGCGACGTAGTCGAGGAACATGACGACGCGCTTGCCGCGGAGAATCATCTCACCAAGCGTTGGCCAGTCGTCGTATGCCATGGGCAGGAACGGGGCCTCGTAGGTGTATCGAGTAATGCCCGAGGCCTCGATGAACGGAACATACAGCTCTGGCTTCGAGTAATTACCGTTGCCGAGTAGAATAGTGACGACATCGTAAGGGTGGGAATCAACCCATTCGCGGACAGTCGTGAGCCAGTCGGTGATTGGGCCAACTGCGGGGTGTTAGATGGGCGTGATGAAGGTACAGCATCGAGAACTTACCATCGAGAATATCGCAGGATGAATGACAGAAGTGCGGCTCTGTGCCGTTAGTGGGCCACTGGATCTGAGCTTGCAAGAAGCGCACTCCATCGTTCAGCTGAGTCGTGACATCGAGAGCTTGGTTGGAAGCAGAGTTGCCTGGGCGAACAAAGGGCGAGTTGTGGCAGCCGACCTCGGTGACATTGCTGTACTTCCTGTCGCAGAATTCGACATAGTTGTTGCAGGGTGTCGTGTTGGTCGCGGTGGGGGCGGTTGAAGAAGTCTCAGAGGCGTTACCGCTGATTGTGGCCGTCATAACAGAGGAGGCGCCCGAGATGATAACGACGGACTGACCATCGGCGTTTGTAGTCGTCTCGGTGACATTTCCAGTAAAGGTGACGGAGCCGGTGACGGTCGTGAGCCTCTCGCCGGTGAGCGTGATTTTGGAGGTGTAGGTTTCGTAAGGTCCGGTCGGGGTTCTAGCCTGGGTTACCGGGACTGTCTTCGTTCCCGACAGGAAGGTGACATCTTTGGTGTTGGTGAGAGTAAAACTGCTGGTGCTGACTGCATCTTGAGCTGTAGCTGGGGTCGCAACGAGCGAGAGCAGGCCCAGGGAGAAGGCGAGTAGACGGCCGGTCATGGTGGGCGACGCAGCCTCTCGCGAGGAATGTTTGCTGGCTTAACGACTGATGGATATGGCGATGTTGAAGTTCAGGTTCGAGATGGGTGTATGTATTCGTGCCCTGATCGCGACAGGACGCAGTGACCAGGTACCCCTCGAAAAGATTTGAGTTGGGCAGAAGACGGGAGGACAGAAGCCAAAACGGATATCGGATAAGCAGGACGACGACGTTGGGACTGACTCGGGAGGTCGATGACGATCCTGGACACCGAGCTACTTGCTAGTACAAAGCAGTAGCCAGAGCGGAGCGTCTTGGAAGCAATCAAGGTAAGGAAAAATAAGGCCGAGAGATTTGCGAAACGAAACAACAAAAAGCCCGGTCGGCCATTCACGCGAGAAGATGCAGGTGCCAATGTACGTTTGGGCGGCGCAACGGTACAGTAGTTAGCAGCAACGAGAACGAGATTCAAAGGTCAAAGGTAAGAGGCGTGCCGCTGTCGACCTCGACCTCCTATGACATAATATTTGTGTACTGGGCCTGGTTTCCCGGGGTGGCCCAGACATTTGGGGTGGCTAGGCGGGGGCCTGTGCTGAGCCCACCTACCTAAGGTACCTTATGTTGTCTGCAATGCGCTGGCGCTGGCGCTGGCGCTGGCGTTGTTGCTCCTGCCCAGTGCTGCCAAGCTCAGCAGAAAAGAGAACCTAAGAGACTGGACGGCGGTACCGCGAAAAGAAACAACCTTTGACTGGCAGCAGCCCCCATCAGGCGGGTCCAGGGGCCCAAAGAGCCCCATTTCCATGGTCCACCTCACCGGAAGCTGCTGCGAGGATCGCTGGGGATTGACCTTGTCCCTGTCGCCCATCTCCGGCACTGCGCTGCATGTCCCGTATCAAGAATAGATGTATCCATAGGCACCGCGAGCAAAAAACAAACAACACAGAGCGACAATCGAACGACGACGACATTGATGGAGGCAACAACGAATCTGCTAGTGCACATTTGCGGCATGTCTGCGGCGAAGGAGGGGCATCCAGGACCCGGGAAGGGGCCGCGGGCGGCGAGACGGCAGCAGGAAACAAGGGACAAACGGGTAACACCATCCCTGATTCCCTGGCGATCAACGGCACAGCTGCCGGCGCGGCGGGGTGTACGCGTGTGCAGCCTGCTACGGGCATACTATGTACGCGATTGTGGTGGCTTCTGGAATACGCCTCTCGCCAGTTGTCGCTCAACGACTGGAAAGGGCATAACTGGGCTGAAGAGTGATGGACAGAGTAAAGTTTTAGGCTTCCATCAACCCGTCAATCCTCATTTCGTTTGTTTGAATCGAGATAAACAGTGTTGGGCAGGGGTTCAAGCTGATCACTCTTCACGGGGAATTAAATGAGTACCACTCTAGATTGGGACCGAGTCTCTGCTGGGATTCGCCCAGAAAAAATAGAGAGGAAAGCACACATGCCACACGCACAAACACGGGATGCACACGGCACGGCCAAGGCAGCGTCGCGCCGGACGGGGACCGTGGACACCGCGGCCCCCCGGCAACTCTTTGAGCAGCATCATTCATCATTGATCAATAGTGAAGCAAAGGAGCGGACACAGCCATCGTGTGCATGCCTGGTTTTGCCGCTCCCTTCCCGGATGGTATTTAGCAGCAGCATGTGCCCGATGCCGTCCAAATCGGAGGGCCAGGAATTTCTGCAGGCGTTCCTTTTTCAGCTGTGAAGGGGTGGCTGTCACCATCAATCATCAGGCCGGCCAGCCGAGAGAAGTGACACGACGGGGCTCTTTGAGGCGGTGCTAGACCAGGGGCACCGGATCTCGTTTACGCAGCATTAGACGATTCCTGCTCTGTATGGCCAAGGGACCCAGAGAAGGACGAGACCGCCTCTCTCTCACACACGTCTGGCTGGAGAAGCGTGTCCGTGGTGTCTTATTCATAACACATCGAGCTCCGTAATAGACAAGGCAACTGCCGCAGAAACGACCCTACGCATATGACCGAAGTGGGCTCCCGCTACGGATACCAGGTGCAAGTTACCAACCTTCCTACCTTACTTGCCTGCAAATGCACCTCTGCTGCATGGCTGCACCACTGCCAAAACACTCGTCCCAGCCCGTGCTGTGATATTTTTCCTTTTTTTGGTCTCTTCTCTGCCGGACGGACGGTTCGTTCCAATTGTCGACTGACTTTCTTGAAAAGCTCCGGCTCTTCCTCCAGTCTGTCCATCGGACGAAAAGAAACCAGGGGCCCACTGCACTTGCATCTGCTTCAAGCCAAGGCACGCTAGCATCCAATTAGCCTGCCGCCAAAGACACTGGTCGACCTCCTAGAGAGAGAGGAAAGGGAAAAAAAAAAAAAAAAAAATTAGAGCGGATAGTCGTTGCTACGACGTCATTTCTCCCTAATCGATACCCTCCTTTAAGCTTCCCCAACAGCGACACGCCTGGCTGCTGCCAACTCACCTCAACACCCGACCGCCGACCCTGCCCAGCTCGCCCTGACCCTTGCCCAGCCCATCCGTATTTACCAAAAGCCAGGGATCCGTCGGTGGGCAAAGGTCTGGCCTGGCCTGGCACTGTTTAGTTTATTCTGTTTTTCCTGGTTTCGATCGACCGGTCTGTCTTGGAAGTTGATGCCCATCATCATCACCATCTTCGACTCGACGCCGCTTCTTCACTCTTCAGCCTGGTGACATCCTGCAGACGCGTCGTCTTCTTCCTTTGCAGGCGAGACATTGCTGCTTGGCATTGGGTGCTGGCAGTCTCGATTCAACTCGACCCAGACACCGGTTCTTTCCTCCCGTCACCCAATCCGGACTCCGTAGAGAAAGACCATCGGAGCCCGCGTCACCTGCACCTCCCACCGCAACCTCAAGTCACAGGTCGAGGTCCGCTGCCGGCATCTGCAGATATCTGGGGAAGCACCACAGAGTAAACGCCCTTGCTCCCCGCTTCGGACGCTCGACGACTTCATTCTCATCCACCTCACCCCTCAACCTCATACCAGATGGCCAAGATCCGGAGGAACAGCGCAATCGTTTGCGCTGTTTGTTATTTCATCTCCATCATCTTCCTCATCCTTGTCATCATCGGCAACACATCCATCAAACCCGTCCTTACCGACATCTACTTCTTCAAGCTTGACGTCTCAGATATTATCCCACTGTCGTCAGGGAACAATGCTGCGCTGTTGAACTCCATCGCTAGGAGCCTCGGCCTCCACGATTTCTACCAGGTCGGCTTGTGGAACTATTGCGAAGGTTACGATGATGAGTATGTCCGCTGCCCCCGTCTTCCCTCCCCAATCAACTCACTGACATCGCACCAAGAGGCGTCACCTTCTGCTCAACGCCGCAGAGGCTCTTCTGGTTCAACCCCATAGAGATTCTCACCAACGAGCTTCTTGCTGGCGCAACCATTGCCCTCCCTAATGAGGTAACCACCATCCTCAACATCCTCCGCATCGGCCAGCAGGTCATGTTCGGTCTCTTCCTCGCCGGCATCTCCCTCGTCGCCGTCCTCCTTATCGCGACACCTCTCGTTCTGCGCACGCGCTGGTGGAGTCTTCCCATGGCCATCTTCGCCGGTCTCGCCGGTCTCTTCGTCACGGTGGCCTCCATCATTGCTACCGTCATGAGCGTGGGAGCTCGGTACGCGCTTACGCAGCAGTCCGAGCTTAACATAAGGGCTGTTCTCGGTGTGCGCATGTTCGTCTTCATGTGGATCGCCTCAGCGTTGACCGACCTTGCGTTCATCCTCCACGCTGCGATGGGATGCTGCTGCTCACCCAGAAAGGAGAGAGAGGCGGCTGCCGCGGCCGCGGGCACCACGACAAGCTCGCAAGAGAAGCAAGAGAAGACTACCACGAGCAACGGAGAGAAGCCGTCTAGGTTGCCGGCCTTTATGAGAAAGCGTAGCCCAAGGTCATCCACTTCGTAATCGCGTTGCCGGGAGTGGTTTGAGGAATGATCATGCAGCTTGCGGCTGGATGGTAATTTGCCATGCGAATGGTCACCTGAGTAATTGGATTAGAAAGCCCCCCGAGCATAGCTGCCCGCGGCGGCGAGGATTAGTGAACGCATCAGGGCAATGGAGGACTCGAGATATCGGTATTTCCAGTCTCGGCAGTACAGACAAGCATTGAGATTGAGCAAAAGCAAAGGCGTTGGTGGTTGCGTTAGCATAGGATAGGACGGCCGTGACGATAGAATCGCGTATTAGAAGGGAGTGACGAAGAACATAGAATAGTGTAGCTTCCTGGATCCAATACCGTACTACTAGTATCCCAACTGCAAGACGGCGTGGCGGGGGTCTGAGGTTTGATGTTGAATAAGCTCTTCCGTGTCGCATCGTGGTTTAATAAACTGCAGCCCGGCGGGATGGGATATACTTAAGCTTACATGGTGGTTACGTGGGGGTCAGCGTACCCCCTATCGCACCTCGGCCTTGGCCCCTCAGACTGAGCCTCGGCTCGTCTGAGCTAGGACCCTGAAGCTCTCATCTCATCCGAAGAGCTCCCTCAGCTTCATTCACATCTCTCGCAAACCAAAATCTCCTCGTCTTCTGCACCTCGAACAGGATTCCACATCTCTCGAGAAACAATTGCCCCTCGGGAACCTGCCGCTTGAAACTCGTATCACCATGGACGCCGCATCGCTCTTCAATGTCAAGGTAAGTGGCCACCAACTTTTATCCATCCATCCGTCGAACTAGACTAACACTTTACTCCCCAGGACAAAATCGTCCTCGTAACAGGCGGGGCCAAGGGCATCGGCCTGATGATCTCGGAGGGCTTCGTCGCCAACAGCGCGACGGTGTACATCTCCTCCCGCGACGCGGCCGCCTGCACCGCCGCGGCCTCCGCCCTCTCCGCCAAGGGGCCCGGCACGGCGCACGCCATCCCCGCGGACCTGCAGAAGCTCGACGACTGCAAGGCCCTCGTCGCCTCCCTCGCCGCCGCGACGGGCGGCAAGCTCCACGTGCTGGTCAACAACTCGGGCGCCGCGTGGGGCGACTCCTTCGACACGTACCCGGACGCCGCGTGGACGAAGCTGCTCACCCTGAACCTGCAGCGCGTCTTCTCGCTCACGCAGCTCGCGGCGCCGCTGCTGGAGGCCGGCTCCAAGGAAGGCGACCCGAGCCGGATCATTAATATCGGCAGCGTTGACGGCCTGCGCGTGCCGCTGATGAGCAGCTTCGCGTACAGCGCGAGCAAGGCCGGGCTGCACCACCTGTCGCGGGCGCTGGCGCGGGAGCTGGGCCCGAGGGGGGTGACGAGCAACACGCTGGCGTGCGGGCCGTTCGAGAGCAAGATGATGAAGGCGACGCTGGACTCGATGAGGGCGACGATCGAGGAGGAGATCCCGATGCGGAGGATCGGGACGCCGCAGGACGTGGCGGGCGCGTGTCTGTTTTTGGCCTCGAGGGCGGGCGCGTTTGTGACCGGGGCGACTATTACGGTCGACGGCGGGATTGTGCTTGCTTCCAAGTTGTAGTTGGGCTCTGATAGAGTGGCACATGAGATGGTGGTGAGAGGGATGGAGAGAATCAGATGTTTGATTAGAGCTGCGGACTGGCGGCGAGGAGGGGATGTAGACGCATGAAATACAAGCGGCAAAGCAACAAAATGATATTGACGGATCAAGTTTCGTGTCCATATGCCGTATCTGAGAGTGTAAAACAACATGGACATCGGAGAAAGCTTTCACACATGGATCATCACTCTGAACAAGCCAAACGAGAACATTGAAGAAGACCAGGAGACTGGCTCGTGTTTAAAACTATAAAGATAACGTCTAGGTAGGACGAGCGTCCTCCGATGTGGTATTCATACATGAGAGCGAAGCAATCATTCGGGTTTGGGTATGACAAAAAGCGACAGCCCCAATCCCGGTAAGTTTACGCCATCGACGCCGTTGTAAAGAAACGTCCCAATAGACAGATATTCCCAATCCCGCAATGCAATATGCCCCTGGTTTGATTCCTGTAAATAAACGCCGATATGCCGTTGATGAAAGTAGTGTTTGTTGCCGTTAAAATGAGTCGAATCGTCTATCCATTTCCCCCGGTTTCCGAGATGATTGGGAATGAGTAAAACCGATGCCCCAAGGTCCGATGAGAGAAGACTTCTAAGACCGATTAAACGTTTCGTAGCGAGAGGAGAGTAAGGTCCGGGTGAACGGAGGGGAGCAGAAGGGTCGAGAGGAGAGGTGAGCGTCACACATGCACAGGGGAAGACGGCGACGGGAATCTCCTGGCCTCCGAGATAACTCTTCCCTCATGTGTGCACATTTCGATGCGAGAGTGACAGCGTTGCGTCTCGCATGCCTCGGCTTCCTCCCGCAGACCGCATTGTTTCAGCGGGCCCCATCCGATAGTTTGCGAGTCCGCAGACGGTCCGAGCTGAGAGCGTGGTAGAAAGAAGGTTTGCTCGGATGATCTTCATTGCCCTTTCGTAGCCTTGCGAACGGATACGTAGGTGGCTTTTTGGTCTACGACAGACCGCAGGCCTCGAAGTCGCGCATCATGACGGCCATCTGGGCACGTTTCGCGGCCTCAGCGACGAGGGTGAAGTCGCGGAGGAAGGCCTCGGTTGACGGGGCCTGGGCGGAGGGGGCCTGAGGCGGCGGGGCCATCTGGTTGGGCGACTGGTCTGTCGACAATGAGGACTGCGAAGACATGGAGTCCTGGCGAGAAGGCTGGTTGGGTGCGTTCATGGTTGCGGTGGTTGTGGGAGGTGAATTTGTTGTGTGGTTGTGGGTGGTGGTGTCTTGTTCCGAGGGCAAGATGTGAGGTGGACTGCCGAGGCGGAGGGGCGGGCAGGTCGAGAGAGGCGATGGTTGGTGGTATTATATCCCCAGATCTTCGTTTTTGGGGCTGCCGATCTTGACTGTAAAAGTGAGACCCGAGCACAGTGTACCTGAACGGGGTGATGTCAGGCGGGAATGAGAGGCTGGAGATCAGGAACCGGAGGGCGGAAGCGAGTTGAGAGACAAGGCGTCCAAGTAAGGGCGAGCAGCGTGTGAATGTCTTTTTAAGAAAAAAGGGCGTCGATGGGTGTGTCTGGGATTTAACAGACGTAACGGGATAGCCGTGAACCGTGGGGATGGACGAGGTTTAAAGTGATCGTGGGACGACCCTGGTGCCAGTGACAGGCTAATTGCGGGTACTGCTGTCTTGCTTGGACAATATTGGACGCAATATTGGATTTCGGCGCGATTGCGGATAACCAACGACCCTTGCAGCGGACAGCCAACAGTCGTGTGGATAAGATAGATTGGGGTGTGCGGGTGGTGACCGACAAGGGCAAGGGGAAGCAGCTGGCAGAGAACGAGAGTGCAGCGATGGGAAGATGGTGACAAGATGACCAGATGGTTTTTTCCCCTTCGCCTTTCCGTTTGAAAGAGGGAGAAGAGTGAGACACGCAGGAGGTGGGGAGGAGATCACTGAGCCACACGCACACGTGAGCGAGGGATGTTGAGACTCTTATGTGCGGGATATCGTTCGAGCAGCGTCGTAACCTGAGCCGGATCCTGGGCTGGATAAGGCGAGTCGGTAGTCGACACGGGCTTGCGTAGGATGCGGGATGGAGGTGGGTAGTGTGGCAGCCCTTTTTCCTCGTCTTCTCTTCTTGCCTTGCTTGTTGACCGTAGGATCCAGGACCGAAAGAAGGCTGGGTGGGATGTAAGGCAGCGCAGCGGCAGCTCGTGCGGACGGGAGAGGGTGTGGATGGCAGCGATGATGTGATGGGCAGCTGGATTGGGGTTGGTTCAGAATGTCCAGTTGACTTGCTTTTGTTCTAAACGAAAAGCTGCGCGTGTGGGTGTGAGTGAGTGCGGTGTGGGAGAAGATGGGTGGGAGGGATGGTTGGATGGATGGACGGGCAAAGGTAGCAATAATATCAGGCAGAAGAGGCGGGCTAGATGGGAGAGGGTGGGCGAGTCGAGGATAAAGAATCTGAGGTCTGGTTCCCATCTACCGACGCAAGACCGAGATGGCTGCGCAAAAAAGGTGGTTATTTACCATGTACTGCCCGAGTGTGTACCTTTTGCACGGAGAGTAGCCGCGGTAGCAGAAACCATCTCATCTTTCCCCAGTTCTTTTTTGCAAAAAACCGAGAGAAAAAAAAAAGAGGGACACGGCCGATACGCCTTCACGTTATTTCCCACCGTCTAATCCATGACGCTCAATGCCCTAGACCCGACCCGGCCGACTCCTGCCCGGGCTTCTGGAGCCATGGACCTCTGGAGCCGCGATAATAGGTCCGAAGATTGGTTTGTGGACTTGGAGAAGGACCCGACCCGAGCTTGGTACGTATGACGCCGAAGTCTTCGTTGTCGTCCCACCCGTAGATCTTCTGGTGCTTTTTTCTTGTTGCCTCGGGACGACGACGATTATCGATATGCATATTGCATCAGTCGAGGCGCTCAGCTGCCATGCTTGCTTGCTTTCCATGGCGCGGGGGGGTTGCTGAGGTACGAAGAGGACGACGGACAGCGTCAGGCCTTGCGGTAAACGTCGCCAAAAGCAGTAATCAGGGCCCCCATGTGTCAAGTACCGGTACATTATTCCCCCATGCGAGGCGGGGGGAGGCGGTTTGCACCGCGTCTCGACTCAGGGCAGCCCTTCAGGGTCTTTGCGGATCAGCGGCTCGAGCGACCGACTCGGGAGCAAGTGAGTGCGCAATTCATGGGCAACACATGGGGGTCGGCCAGAAGGCCGGCGAGCGTTTCGCTGTGTGGGGTAGGGCGAGGCGGCATGTCGTGGTGGACATGGGGGGCGTCGACTCCAAGTACCGGTACGTGAGCGCTTCTCTCTCTCGTCCCTCAGCCAATTCTCCGCATTGAACTTGACTGGATCGCATCAACCGTCCCTGGCGACGCGATCCTGGGAACAAGAACCAATGCACCGAAGCCTGCCTCGTTCGATTCCAGCCTAGGGCGAGGGAGGGAACAGCCAGGCGATGACATGCTCTGCCCCACCTGCAGATGCTGCTGCTGCTGCTGCCGCCATCCCACGTCCATGTTTGCTGGATGCTGGTCGGTATCCCATGTCAAGACCTGTATCTGCGCGGGCACTTCTTCCTCTTTGTGTGTCTCCGTGTCCGATCTTGTGCGTAGTCTGGGACAGCACGCAGTATCCTTTGCCCGAACAGACGAAGAGATGCGGTGCGCGATACCAACCGAGGCAGGCGATGGATGAGATGGCTGCAAAGCGAAACGAGGCTTTTCGATTTCGATCCGATGCGAAAGTGAGACCTCTCTGCCCTCTTGTCTGGTAGGTTGCTGGCTTTCGTCACCGCGCAGGCTCTAGCCCCCGGGAGGCACGGCGTGGAATCCCGTCCCAAGATTGTCTGTCTGTCGTCGGATACGGCGAGACCAGCAACGTGTAGAGTGATGACTGTGCGGCTGTTGCGTGGGTTGGTGCGGGCTGAACTCTATCTCGAACGGGATTGCGGGGGAAGTGGCGTGGATGGCCTGGATTCTGGGAAAACAGCTCGAGGAGAGGAGGCATGATCACAAGCCTCGAATCGAAGCTGCTGGATGGAGTAACAAAACCCGGGGGAGCTGCGAGAAACTCAAAATCAAGGGGGATGCGCCCCCGTTGACTCTTGTTCTTACTCGCTTTCCCAACCCCCATTTGCTTGTGATTTTGTCTTTCTCTGTCTCTCGCTGAGGCCATCGTGTACTGTTGTCGCCATACCTTGCCTCTTTGGTATGTACCAGGCACCGCTTGCCCTTACTCAGAACCAGACGGACGATGGGCTGGACGCGCCTTCAGAGCTGTGAGTGACAGATGGCGGGAGATCGAAGGTGGTCCCAAGTCCAGGGGTGGCCGGTCAGTCGGTGGGGAACATGTGAAGAACGACCACACGACATTGACGGAATTCCCGTTTTCGACCTTGCCTTGTTTCCCCACACAGGCATTCACTGGCGCTGGGGGCGTGGCGGCCGTCGTCGACTTTGCGCGCTCGTCGCTTGTTTTCCGACTCATCAATGACATCGGCATAATCCCGTGGGTGGTGGACGCGGACGTGCCTGGTGCTTGGGCAAAAAGATGCGGAAAATGTCGGGATAGAGATTTCCCAGTCCCCAATCTTCCCATCCCACAATGCCCACACTTATCGCCGCCTCTCCATGGGCTTGGACCCGCCCGAGTCCCATGGAGACTGGAGTTTTTTTCTCCAGTCGTGCTCTTGGGCCAAGCGCGCGCAGGGCTTCCCGTTGCCTTTTCGCTCCAGGCTCGGAATACCTTCGGGATGAGAATGTCCCGGGGCGGGTAATACAGAATGATGATCAGATAGGACCACTCTCTTCTGATCTGGGGGCCAGAATCGCGCAATCTCGTGAGACAGGCGAAACAAACTGGAACAGACAGAGTAAAAAATTTTGTTCTTTTTTTCTTCTGCCTTGGTGCCTTGGTTTGCTTTCAATCAGCCGTAATAGCAGTGCTGCGATTCGCATGTGCAGCGCAGCATCCGGAAGCTGTTGCTCCAGCATCCAGCCGAACCGAGATGCGTAACCTCGTTTGGAAGCCGTCCAGATGCGTCTCGGATGGGATGCATCACCATCGCTCGGTAGGAAGGTTCTTCCCAGACCAATCCTTGGAGACATGCAGCGCTGGTCCGCTACTTCTTGGTAGACCGCAAGCGTTGGTATTGGTAATAATGCAACTGCGGTCTCTGTTGATGGCCTCAGAGATTCACTAGCTCGCCCTCGCCTGGTCGACTAGGTACGCACACGGGGGGAAAGGTCGGGCGTCGAAAGATATGCCCAAGCTTGCCGTGGCCAGAAAAGCATGGCAAGTATGTGTGTGGATGGTGTCTTGCCCTTCCTGCCTGGGCGCATGCACTTGCATCTTGTGCACGAGTCGCGGCAGGCTGGTGTCGTTCCCCGTCTGCAGCTGTTCATGACTGTCTGTCATCACGCTGTCAGCCGTCCCGTCAACCCAAAAGCTTGGCCTTCTCAAGCGGCACTCGAATACGTGTGTGTGATGCGGCACTGCCCAAGTGGCCAGGCGGTGTCCCTGCGGGTATGTTTTGATCCAGCAACTCAAAAAAGAGAGTTGGCAGGAATCGAACGAGGGAGGCCAACTATCCGTACGGCTTTGCAATTGAGCGAGGAATTTGCCCGAGATCACCGAGGGGCACCTTGCTCCCAGGAACATCGAAATTGAAGTCGACCCGCCAGTCCACAGTCCGCCTGGAATTTCTCAATTGGCCGCGATTAATCCGGAGCCACCTCACCGACGGGGGGCTGCTCCAGGAGTCCAATCGCCAGCCTCCAGGGTCCAAACCAACGGGGACTTCACCGAACCGGGGTTGGGTTCTTCGGGCGGACGGCGAGCGCTTGATTCACCTCGGCCGGCTCCATCCTGTTGTCGTCTTTCTGCTCGATATTTCCGCCGTCGCCTGCACGGATACCTGGAGTCCTGGACGGATACCGACCCATCTGGCTACCTGCCGAGGCGGTCGATGGGACCAGCAGCGCTGTCGCACAATCTCTGCGTCCGTATCCGTTCATTGCAGGAGAAGCGTCATGGAAGCTAGACACGAGAGGTGTACGACATTGCCGTACGGATAGTGATAGAACTGTAACGGTAGCCCAGGGCGAGAAGCAAATCCAGGGTCCATTTACAACGCCGCAAACCCGCTGCTAAGGTAGCAAGACATGCAGTCGTCTGCAGGTGCAAGCAAGCCTTCCAAGCAGCACAACAG